CGAAATAGTACTCGTTTGGCTGTTGCACGGAGTACTGCATGATGACGACCGAAGAGTGAAGCAGCTTTCGGAGTCATTGTGGTGAAGAAGCGTAGGATCAAGAATACCGTTTTTAGCAGGGAATTCCATGTGCTGAAGCGGAAGGTGTCCAAATGCAGGTTCAATGGTGGTGTTGAGTTGGAGGAGATGGCAGGATGACAGCCATGTTCTGCACTCTCATTACTCGTTTTTTGAGGCATATCCTCTGATAGTTCCGCGTGAAACAGCTCGGTAGTTGTACTGTTTGTGGAAGAAGGCCATGCCGCTTCTTCCAGCTTCAGAAAATCTGGACCACTCCACCATTTTGTCATTGCTTGTAATTCTGTGAATATGGATCCACGAGAGCCAATGTCGGCTGGATTGTCTTCCGTCGGGACGTAACGCATAATGACGTCTGAGGTAAGTGATCGAATCGTTTTTACTCGGTTACGAACGAACACTGGCACTGTTTTATCAGTGTTTGTCCACCTAAGGGCAACAGTGCTGTCGGTCCACAGAAACTTTCGACGCAACTCCAGGTCTAGCTGCGTAGAGAGAAAACGTAAGCAGTTTAGAACCGATAGTGAGAGCCGACAACTCTAGGCGGGGTATGGTTATAGATTGATGAAGTGGAGCCAGCCTCGACTTTGCCATCAAGATCGAAACTTTGTGAGGAGAACTTTGACGGCGTTGAACTAGGTATGCCACTGCGCAATACGCGTTTGCGGACGCATCTGTAAATACATGAAGATCGAAATCTGATGTCGTGGTTGGCCCTGTTTCAACGATGAGGCGGTTGAGGTTCAATGTGTGATCGGACCAAGTGTTAATTATGTGTTGCCATTGGGAGGCTAATTCATCAGGAAGTACGTCGTCCCATCTCTGTTCATATTTCCACAGTGACTGAAGAAAGAGTTTTCCAATGAGAGTGACTGGTGAGAGTATACCCAGCGGGTCATAGATGCTGGCTACTTCTTTCAGCACCTTCCGTTTCGTCCATTTGGTTTGCTCTGGTGGTTTTCGTGGGAGGCTGATAAACAGCTCATCGGTAAGAGTGTTCCATCGGAGGCCGAGAAGTTTTTGTGTTTGCGCCATACTTCTACCTTCTTCTTCTTCAAAAAGCTTGTTTAGTTCTGAAGAATTGCTGGCGTATTCTCTCAAGTTCATGCCTGCTTGGCGGAACAATTCTTTGGAGTCGGCGAAGAACGACTTCCCTTCGGCAACATTGTTGACGCCGTGGAACACGTTATCTACATAAGTGTTTCGGAGAAGTGTTTGTGAAAGGGAAGTTGCTATTTTTGTCAGATGGTGATGGATAGTACCGGACAGCAGGAAAGGAGAGCATATGAGGCCAAATGGTACACGGGCAAATCGGTAGGTAACTATATTAGTGGAAGTTAATGGTTTCGTTGTATCGTTGACCCACAAGAAACGTGTGTAGTCCCTGCAGTCAGGGTGAAGTGCCACCATCAGAAATGCCTTTTCAATGTCACTGATAATCAGGATTGGAGGAAGCCTGCAACGTATGAGTATTCCAGTGAGGTCAGGTAAGAGCACTGGTCCTCGGTGAAGTATCTCGTTGATACTGGGATTTCCATTCGTCTTAGCAGAGCCGTCGAAAACACATCTCACTTTGATGGTATTGTCGTTATCGGATTTCAGTACGCCATGGTGGGACAAGTAATGGGAAGGCTTCGACAACTCCGTATTGGGCACTTTCTCTATAATTTCCCTTTGAAGTTGATCTTTGATGACGTTGTCGTATTTTTCCATGTAAGATGGGTTACTTCTCAATGACTTGAGCAAGCTGGAAAGTCTCGAGAAGGCTAATTTGAAATTGTCGGGTAACTGTGTTGCATCGTATTTGAAAGGTAGTTTGACCACATATCGATTTTCTTTGTGATTGTATTCGATAGTGTCATTGAAGAACTGGAGACAAACAGCGTCATCCTTTCGAGTAGGATCGTCCATTATTCCTACTGCTTCTAGTTTCCAAAAATTTTGAACAAGTTCAGAAAGTTCGTCGTGGAGTACTGGATTGTTGAGATCGCCTTCTGCATGAAAAGGAAGTGCAAGTTGCAATACTTTTCAGATTCAAAGACTTGCCTACAAGAATGTTGCCGATACTGGTGTGAAGCATACGATAGCCGTTCGGCAGTGTTTCGTAGTAGAAATCATCTGATAGGACGATGTCCCAAAAAGTAATCATTTCCAATCAATATAGATGGCTTGCATGACGATATCGTAACGTTTCCGTTCTTCGCATTAGAATCGGGGTGTGCATGTCTCAAATGACCCGTTAAGGTGGGCAAAGATTTTACTTGAAGGTGCTTCTCTCCTTTCTCTGTCTTGATGCCAACGACCGATCAGGTACTCGGGGTCGGGTTCCCAAGCGTTGATTTCGAGATTTCAGTCGGAGAGGAGTCGTAGTGCCAAATGTTGACACAGAGATCTCTTCGGATAACATATTCTGGAGGTCGAGGACTCGTGCTAGTTCGTCTGTGATGTACGACTGGGTGGAACCTGAGTCGAAAAATGCAGTAACAGCTGTTGTCTTTGAAGAGTTTGCAAGGATTAAAGAGGGCTACGGAGGTGCACATGAGTGTGGCTTGTGAACGTATGTTTCGATTCTGATGGCGTATGTATTCGATTCTGATGGGAGGGACTGCTAACTATTGGGATGATATTGTCCTCTTGTTGATGAGGGTTGTTTGTCGTTTCTTTTGGTGAAACACTAACAAACTGCTCGTGAGTTCGGAACGAGGAGGGGTTAGGGGCGAAGGAGTGGCCAGGTTGCGGAGTCTCTCTTCCTGGATTAGACACATTAGAGCATTTTAGGACACACAGCGATGAGTGATGACGCTTGGCGCAGAATCTACAGGATTGTTTGGATGTGCAGTCCTTAGAACCATGTTGACTGGAGAGACAGTTGTAACATAGACGTAGTTGTTCTACTCGACGAGTTCGATCACGCGGGGTCGGGAAGGAGTCGCAGACGAGAGAGGTGTGATCGGAATTTCGACAAAAGGAACATTCTTTTCTCTTCTGTGTTGAATATGAAAAGTGCTGAGGCTTCGACCGGAACTCCACTTGAAGCTCGTGACTTGACTTGAAGGATAACGGTTCATGCATGCGTGATAATCAATCTCTGATAGTGCGGCTTCTTTACGGACTATATCGGTGAGCAAGTGTAGCAGTTCGGTCGGGGAGAGGTTGTGGCTATTGTTTGTCTTGTCATATATCTGACTACGTACTCTGGCAGGAAGTTTGTTAAGCAGAATTGCTCCTAAACCGGTCTCGTTTGAGTCATTTCCGTCTTCAGCAAACTGCCTAACTAGAGCAAACATTTGGTTGTACAGAGTTTGAAGATTGCGACCTTCCTGGTCACAATTCGGTAGTTGTGACAACTTCGTGTAGAGGATATGTTTCATAGTCACTTTGTCGTCGAAGTGGGTGGCGAGGATGTCCATAGCGATCTTGTAGTTGTTAGGAGTCATGGAGAGTCCTTGTATCGCGTGAAGAGCACGACCTCGCAGACAAGATTTCAACAAGGAAAATTTTGTCGTGTCATCGAGTTGAACCTTATTGCCGACTAACGTGGCAAACCGAGACGAAAATTCTGGGTACTCAAGGATGTTTCCATCGAACGTGGGAAGTTCCAATTTACTGAGAATAGAAGCATCGACGAAATTGAGCAGCGACGAGTTGACTGCTGGAACATACGGGAGCGTTGTCGTTTGAGAAAGCGTTGTGTTGGACCGCACGGGTCCACTGGACTGGCGATGGCGCTTAGCTTGTCTTCTGAGTGTAGGCGGCATCGACTATGGTGTGCTGTAATCTTCTTTTCGAAAACTCACAGAGAATCCTGCCGTGGTCGCCACTTGTTTTGACTTCTGGTTCCGGCTGCGTCGAACACTGAGTCCAAAGTCGTTTATTGGGATAAACACAGCAGCAGATTGGATAAACTGAACCATACTCAGCATGAAGGTATTTATACCGGTGATGTTTTGAAGGCAGATGGATAACAAATGAAAACAATCTGTTTGTAACAGCACAGCCTAAGCCATCTTCTTTTGCACATAATTCTAATGGTACACGCTGTTTAACAGCAATATGACTAAGTATTGATCACCCCATATATTTGAGAGAAAAGCAGAGCAGGAAACAAGCCAGGAGATAAAATCAAGGGAAGGAGCTGTAAAAGAAGGAAAAACGGAATATTTTGAGAATACAATGGAGAGATTTTCAGTTGAGTATTTGTGTCGGTTCTGCTTGCGAGATATGTGGTCTTAAAGGAATTCACGATGAAAAAGCAACCCATTTCAAATTAACCTAGGGATGGTGAGTGGTACACGAAAGAAGGAAGAACCATGAGAAACGGCCCAGAACCCGAGAAATGGGACCCCTTCCTTGCCCGTTGATTTGAGCATTGATGCGACTCTCATCGCTGTGCCCTTCCTCTCTTCAGCTATCTCTCACTCGCCACGTATTGAACTACGGCGAGTGATCAGATGATCGGTGGGCGGAGATCGCCGGATCCTGCCAGCTTGAGGCATGATAGGTCGCGGAGGTCAGGAGGTCGTGGCTCCCTCAAGTAGAACAGTTTCCCTTTCTTCGACCTTCAATCTAATCGTGAATTCCTCCTTAAAGCGAAAGTACGAGTCTTGGGAAAATCCGCAGAATATCCCACAAGTGACATTTGTGTGTCACAGTACAAGCACACGCCCAATTCAGGTAAGGTCGCACATGTCACATCACGTGAGAGCTTGAGCGTGTTGAAGAGAACCACGAAGAATGTATAGCGTGATACTTCTTTTGTTTCAAATGGCTCAGCTCTTTTAATAGAGGCACGGTTGCTTGCAGTACATATCTCTCTCGAAGGAGAAGCTGCAAATAGCGTGGCTAGTGGTGACCGAATAAAAATATTTTAATTTTATGCGGAACGTAGAAGCCCTCGAATAGTAATTTCCTCGTCTCTTCACGTGAGCTCTTCCTAACCATGGAAATGTGGTAAAAGCAAGCTGTTGGACTTCATAATTGGAACAACGTATTACATCATGCTTCAAATGCCACCCAAAGTCTGAAGTGTTTACTGAAAAGATTTATTTTGCACCGCAGTCATTCTTATAAAGAACTTGAGGCTATCACGCAAGCAAGTTCCACGAGCATCATTCTTTTCAGTCACTTCAAAAGGGGAATGAATCACAGTTGATTATAGTTCCAAGGAATATTTAGATTTGATACCATCACTAATAAATGGTCGAGCGACGTTGCTCCGATGGCTCACGAGCGCTTCGCTCACGCTGTGGCTACGCTTAATGGCATTATTTATGCAGTGGGAGGAAATCGTAGCTCAAAAAGTGTGGATGTCGCTGGTCGGTAAGTGAAAAAGTAGCGTTTTTGGCTCACGTTATTAGCCCATAATTGTAGCTACAATCTTTGGCGAAATGAATGGACCTATGCAGCACCGATGGGCTCACATGGCCATTTTATTTATGCAGCGGGTGGGAACGGTAGCTCAAATAGTTTGGATGTTGTTGAACGGTAAGTGAAAAGTGGTGTTTTTGTTCACGGTATTAGTACATGCTTGCAGCTATGATCCTTGGCGTAATGAATGGACCTATATAGCACCAATGGGCTCACGTCGCCATGAGCTTTCTGTATCCGTTCTCAATGGCTGTCTATACGCTATCGGAGGACGCGATGGGCAATTACTTCAACGTACTGTGGAAAGGTGAACTGACACATCTCTAACTATATGCTACCAGTTGGCGCCGCACGCGTTGCGCGCACAGCACAGTTCTGCGGCGATATAGGATGGTGCGGCGTGAATTTTCGAATTTGGCCCAATACACTTCGAATACTTGACTTTCAAGCTGAATTCTATCCGATTGCCCCATGCTTCCTCCACCAATTGTCCGTAATCGTCAACCAATTGTCCGTTTTTCCCGGCCTCGGACTGCCTCCGGACCGATTTATGAACCTCGTGGTAAACTCCGCCTATTTCTTTGCATGTCCCACCTATCTTTTTCTTCCTCGCCAACCTCTTCCCACTTTTTACCCGATCTCTGAACTATCTCTGAGCCGATTTATAATTTTGGCGGCGAATCCTGCTTTTTTGGTGTATCCTCCGCACACCATTAGAAATTCACTTCCTTTCCTTCGCCACTTCTCTCCCGGTCTCCAGGACTTCTTGCAGCCGAGTCACAAAGTTTTGTGGAGAACTCCGCCCACTTTGGAAATGCTCCGCCCACCAACAGCAGTTGGGCTCCACTCCTTCACCCACCTCTATCCACCTTTTTCCCGGTCTCCGGGACTTCTTGGAACCGAGTTATGAATTTTCGTCGCAAACTCCGCCCACTTTGGTGCACGCCCACCCACCAATAGCAGTTGACCTCCCTTCCGTTGACGGACTCATTCACTTTTTTCCCGGTCTCCAGGACTTCTTGGAACCGAGTTATGAATTTTCGTGGATAACTCCGCCCACTTTGAACATGCCCCGCCCACCAATGACAGTGGGCCTCCACTCCTCCACCCACCTCTATCCACCTTTTTCCCGGCCTCCGGGACTTCTTGGAACCGAGTTATGAATTTTCGTCGCAAACTCCGCCCACTTTGGTGCATGCCCACCCACCAATAGCAGTTGACCTCCCTTCCTTTGCCACCTCTATCCACTTTTTTCCCGGTCTCCAGGACTTCTTGGAACCGAGTTATGAATTTTCGTCGCAAACTCCGCCCACTTTGGACATGCCCGCCCACCGATGACAGTTGGCCTCCACTCCTCCACCCACCTCTATCCACCTTTTCCCGGTCTCCGGGACTTCTTGGAACCGAGTTATGAATTTTCGTCGCAAACTCCGCCCACTTTGGTCATGCCCCGCCCACCATGACAGTTGGCCTCCACTCCTCCACCCACCTCTATCCACCTTTTTCCGGCTCACTAAGACTTCTCCGGCCCGAATTATGAGGACTTGTAGAAAACGCTGTACACTTCAGAGCGCGCTCCGCCCATTGTGGGCGGCCTCCGCCCACGTCATGTATGCTGGAAACACCTTAGACATTGCTCCCCTACACCAATTTGTTTTCTGCTCTGTAGGCTTTCTCCCAACCGAGTTATGAAATTTTTCATAAAGCACTGCTTTTTTGGAGAACGCCCCGCCCACCGGGGGTGGGTCTCCCTAATTCGATGTGACTTACCAATGCACACCTTTACCCACTTTTTGGCCCAGTTTCGAGGCTGTTTTGTCACTGAAATTGAAATCTTGGTCGTCAGTACATTCATTTCGATGCACGCCACGCCCACTGTGGGCGGGGCTCCGCTTAGCTGATGTGTGTTTTGTACTTCGTGAGACCTTGCCCACCCATCCCACACTTGACCCGGTCCCTCCAGGCGGATCCCGAGGAGCTAGGGAATTTCGTGACAGACATACAGAACGACAGACAGAACGACAGAACGACAGACGAAGCGCTTTATAGTAGTAGGATATATATGTACTGCATAGCGAAGTTCGCTCTAAAGGCAAGGGTCGGGATCGAATTGGTGTGTTATTTCGTTTGAAAATAGGACAAGAAGGGCGGCAATGAGGAACGTTAGTGGGGAGAAAAAGCAAAAAGCACCATAGAAAACAACAAAATTTCCTTTCTGAGGTCGGCCGCGGTCAGACAGAGGTACAGTCGATATCTCGAAGTCTGATTGGGCGTGTCACCGGAAATGACGTGGCAGCCACCGCACTTGATAGATGTTGTGTGGATAAAATACTCCGCCAGATATCAGCAAAGCGTGTTGGAAGCAGCTTATCCGCGCAACTTCTATCAAGTGCGGTGGCTGCCACGTCATTTCCGGTGACACGCCCAATCAGACTTCGAGATATCGACTGTACACAGCGCTGCGAGGAGAGGGAAAACGCGTCGCGCGTCGTAAAGCCACGTCGTATGCAAGAGGTCGCAAACGCCTTCTCCGCCGCGTTTGATAATGATGGCAGCGGCCAAGCGAAGGTATTAGCTTCCTTGTCGCGCACTTTTAACACATTGACGACAGCGAGGCGCGGTTGCGCGTTTCAATTTCACCCGATTCTGGCTAGTTTTTTTTTCGATTTATCTGGCATTTTTCATATTTCAAAACTGTGTGCATGCATTATCTCATCCGAAAAACTGTGCATCAATTACCAGTAGTGGAATTATTGAAAAAGTTATGATTGTGAAAAAAAAATTAACAAAAAGATGCCGAGGTAGTATGTACGGGCTGTGGTCAACGTGTTATGTGGCGGCAGTCTCACCGCCGCTCTGAGTATGAGTCCTAGTACCTCGATCTAGTGTTGATTTTCTCTGTGGATCTGACCTCGACCCATGCTTTCAATTAACGACTCACTGTGGGATTATGTTTTTCGAAATGGTTATGGTTGATCCATAGAAATATACGCATATCAGGTATAAATATACCTCTTAGGGTCAGTTGCCTGGTGATAATGAGCAGAAAGGAAGTGGGAAGTATGAATGTGGCGTTCAAACTTCAGACTTGACCCACGAGTTGGTAAATGGGAATCGGTTCGCTCTTTACCAAATCATCGAAGTCATTTGGGGTCTGCAGTGCTCGACGGCTATTTGTATGCAGTAGGAGGACTGAATAGCCAGAATCAATCAGTAGGCTCAGTTGTGAAATACAATCCGCGCACCAATGAATGGATTGCTGTGGCTGAACTGAAGAGCAAACGATCTGATGTGAGTATACTCATTTTTATCATAATCCAGTTTTAACAGAATACCCTAGTAAAATGGTGATATTCTTATCGTTAGGTAAGAACAGCAGTTGTCAATGAAAAGCTGTATGCTGTTGGCGGCTTCGACGGTGTTACTCACTTAGCGACCGTCGAAGTTTTCGATACTGGGGCAAATCAGTGGATAATTCACAGTTGCATGAACAATGGGTTAGTTGTCGTTCATATAATATAGTTAGATAGTTTCTCGATGTCTATTTAACGATGTATTTCCAGACGATCTGGGGGAGGTGTAGGTGTAGTCCGAATGCTGTAGCAGATTTCAGCTGTGGCGATCTTATTACGATCCAGGGATTCAGCATTTTCTCTCCCTCACTACCCTCCAAATCTTGCGTATTGTAAGCTCACACATTGTGAATCGTGATGATCTTCTCTGAAGTTACTTAAAGATCATCGCATATTTTTACTGTTAAGCTATGCGACATGTGGTTATTTTTCTGTTATCTCTACAATTAGATGCTACGACGAATTTCATTCTATATTACATCTTTAATTGTCTTTTAATGCGAACTTTTTAGTTCTTCGGAAGTAAATCTATTTAACTTGTGTTTGACCAATCGACATAAATCTTATTTGGTGCTACCCAACAATTACCTGATGCTTTTTTCGTCTTCCATTGTCAATCACCAGAACATTCAAACTCGTTCAGAGTCTACGGTTGTACATGTTGGTGTCGGCTGTGTTTAAGTCGACATCCCTTATCT